TTGCTGGGTTCTTTGCACCTTTAACTTTTCTAACATATCTTTGTAATAAAAGATTAAAGCCCTCTATACACTGCGCCAACTATACAGAAAAATAGCACAGATAGTGCAGGTACGTGTCGAGTAAATGAAATAACCACTCTGTTGATGGCATGTTTGTTTTTTGCAATCCTTGTGCACACGCTGAATTGCATCAACAAAAGCGCACATGCAAACTGTGTTCAGCCACCTTAATGGGCTTATCCTTTACACCCTACCATCTGTCTGCATATTCTGTACTGTTCTAAAAACAAATGTAGATCATTTATCAAACCTACTTTCAGTTGATTCTTTCTCCTCTTTGTAGTCACATTTGTTTGGCATTCTTCATTATTTGATCTCTTTGCAGATGTCATTGTTTCCACTGATCCCTTCTGCAATAATTTACGAATTCCATTGTTCCATTGCCGACTATACGTCTGTTGAACATTTGTATGTGGATTGCCGCAATGTACAGGATAAAATCTTTCTGGTGAAAGAGGTTGCCTTGGGGTGGCTGCTTGTGAAGGAAAATTGTCTTTGGCACAGCGCGAGCAATTTTTGTTCTGTGACAACTTAGTGGAGCATTTGGCACAAAAGTAATCTTTAAAGCAGTCTTCATAATTCTCATCTTTTTTCAAATTTGCATTTTCTCCCAGTTTTGATTTTTTCCTCAAATTGTCGTCGGAATCAGTGTCTTTATTACTTAAAATTTCACCATTAGAGTTAGTGCTGGATTGGAATCCCTCGTGCTGACCACCCATAAGGTCATCCAAAACTGAACAACAATGTTTTTGCTCTTCCTCAAGAGAGCAAAATTCTTCTCGCTTATTAGTTCTTGTAGGGTCAGAACCACTGCAAGTCCCCTCATTGCAAGCATCCGAAACTGCAATTAAAAGAATTGTTTATAATCCTTGAAGTACATGTAGTACACAGCCTTTTTTTTTTCACTTCAAAATGGAAATCCAGTTGTTATCACCAACTTCAACATACTGACAGCTTTTTCTTTGAAATTCAACCTTGTCTATTAACTGTAGATCAATCTTTCAAATATCATTGCTTACAAACCTTCAAGAGAGGAATCATTCCTGGGACATGTTGGTGTACCTCGCCAACCAGGGGGGCTTGCATGCTTCCATCGTGACTTGGGAGTGGCAGCCTCTTCCCTTCCTCGAGTTTTTGGAGTCTTATGCCCTTGACGTTGAATACGATATCCAATTTCGTTCTCAAAATTCCTCTTCCTGGGAGTGCTGTGATTAGCTGCTTTCCTTTTTGGCCTTGTTTGAGGACTTTCATATAATCCATTGTCTTTTGGAGAGAATGATGGTTCAATCCATTTCTGGGTTTTCTTGGGAATTGTATAATTTGTTTTTTTCGCATCAAAATCCTGACAAAGGAAAAAATTGTCAGTTCATGTAATGTTAGACTTCAAATAGCAACAAAACACAAAAATTTAGCCTAATAATTCAAGCATTTAGGCAGTTTCTTAATTCTGCAGACAGTAGAATCAACTGAATAAAGGAGACTGACAAGAAACTAAATGATGCCCTGGGCAAAACACTATTTGGGGAATTGTACGCAACAATGCAGAATAAACAACCTTCATTTGAAACAATCGAACATGTCTTCTTGTGTAGATTCTAGCAAAGGACCTGGGAAGCCACTCAACAAAGAATTATAAGTTTCCTTCTCATAAATCAGTGTTTCACACTAAATGCAATGTGATCTCATAGTAGTTGTGCAGCTGTAACCACCTCACCATATAACTTGCATACTAAATATATGGTAAATAAATAAATAAATAATGACAATTAAAACAAGTCTTTATGACCAATTTTGAAAAATCTTATGTTACCACTGGATATAAAGCCTGTACCTGGGCTGGCAGTCAAAGGGTTAATCATAAGCATAGTTACCGTATTTATTCATCTATAAGCTGAGCGATTTTTTCACAAAATTTTACCAAAATCTTGAAAATTTGAGCTAGAGAAGGGTTCTCGGCTTATAGCCGAGTCTTTTTCCAAACATAATTTTTTCAAAACAGCAAATTCAAAGGAAACATAGATATATTCGTCTATAAGCCAAGATATTGCATGCAGAAGTAAATAACAAAACAAGTTGAAGTTGGTCATTGACTTTATTTATGTGATTGCTTCCAA